ACCCCAAAACCCCAAAACCCCGTGATATAGAATTACCAAGATATTAAAGATTATTGTAAACTTATAAATAAATTTATTAATGGACTGCTGTTGTTACTTTGACATTTTAGCCATTATTCTAGGCGCATATGTCTTAATTCCGAAAATTCTAGAAATTGTGGAAGTCATCAATCACAGCTTTATGTTCAAACAATATGACATCAAGACTAGATATTATGGTAAAGATTCTTGGGCGTTGATAACAGGATGTACTTCTGGAATTGGAGAAGAAATTGCTCACAGACTTGGCTCATTTGGATTTAACTTAATTTTAGTCTCAAGAAGTCAAGAGAGACTCAACAAAGTTGAAGATGATATCTTGAATAAATACGGGAAAGCAAATGTGAATACTTGAATAAAAACTATAACAATAGTAGCTGATTTTGCGAAAAATGGAGAGACTTTAGAGCTTTATGATGATATCTATAATAAGATTAAGGATTTAGATCTCGCTATTTTAGTTAATAATGCGGGAGTTAATACAAGAAATTACATTAAAGATACACCTTTAAAGGACATTATGGAGATGGTTATTGTAAATACTTACCCTTATACCTTTTTGACTCATAAACTCCTGAGTAAACTTAAGGAAAGATAAAGCAAGAGTGCTATTATTACAATCAGCAGCTCAATCACAGTTAACCCAGCAGCATTTGATGCTATTTATGGTTGTACAAAAATCTTTGAGTTATTTACAATGGAAGGTCTAAGATTAGAGAATAAAGATTAGAAAAATTTAGATTTTTTGATTATTAATCCAGCTTATGTATCAACTAACAACGCAAGATTGCATCCTGGCAGTTAGGTTGAAACAACATAGACATTTGTTGACAGTTTATTTAAGGCTCTTGGCAACACTTAAATGACTTTTGGAACTCCCAAACACTGCATAAATGGTTTTGTCTTAAAACTTATGTCAGGATTAACTGCTAATTTTAATGCTTATCATTTCTTATCAGAAAGAATAATATCGAAATTAGCTAATTAGATGTGGGAAAAGAGAACTTGATTAAGTTTATTTATCTATAAAAATTGTGATTTTGACATTGATTTTAGTTCAGGGGTTTTGGGGTTTTGGGG